TACGCAGATGGTCACCCTACCTAAAAACCTCTTAATTAAAAATTTCCCGCCAAAAATCAAACAGAACTAGCCACCCCACTCCCCTTCAGCATCTTCATATGCGTAATAGACATAAGAAAACAGCAAAGAAATAAGAAGATGAAAATGAAATCGTGAGAAAAATGTGAAAATTGCTTTTATGCGTGCTTTCTCTCCTATTCCTATTCTCATTCACATTACCATAACAGACGTACATTCCTACATACACATAGATCATGTATTCTGTTCTGAAATACAAGCCTCGATTGTAGCCTTGACAGCACTCAATCGGGCATCGTTACGCTCACAAAGTCTATCTCTGATAAAAAAAAATTACTCCAAATCAATATTGATGTCTTATTGAATAAAATGATGACGGTGGTGTGTTAACGATAGCTGTCAATGAATGAAAATAGAATTAATCTATTTTTGGGTAAGGGGATTTGAGTTTAAATGTCAAAATAATTGTAGCTTGAATGTGGGACGAATTTTAAAGTAGTTTGTTACTGATTTTGCTTTAAAAAAGTGCTGAGTTTGGGATATTTCGGAATGAGAATGAGGAGCTATTTTTGGAATGCTGGTGGCTTTATGATGAGTTTTTTGAAGGAGATTAAGTTTGTGTTGGGATCAACATTATGTCAAAATAATAAAATGATTCCAAATTCAACTGAAAATCTTTTAAAGGCACAGAAGTAGAAGAATTTTCACACACAAAAATTAATAAAATGTAGCAATTTTTCAGTGGCGAATAAAAAAATTACTTCTCATTCATTTTTTCACGTGCGGTTTAATACCTCTATAAAAATTTCCATTTCTTCTTTCTGCTGATCTTTCTCATGAAAATAAAATTGTTCTTCTTATTGCGGAATTTCAGGAAGGATTGTTCATAAATGATGTCTAAGAAATGGTTTCTTGGGATCCTTGGGGTGCCCTCCTCACTGACTAGGGTTGGCAAGAATTTCATGCCAGAATTTTTATGTTGGAAAGTGTTTTAAGGTCCTTAGAAAGAGGGGATTTGGTGTCAACTTTCTCTCACTATTTGAAAAATTCTTGAATTTGCTACAAAAAACGTTCAACAAGGTCTGAACCAACAATAGTGTTTAGGTATTATAGAAGGAGATAATAGGCTGATGAAACTTGAGGCGGTTCTAAAAAACTAATGTTTTCAGACAAAATGTAGGATCGTGGGTCAAAAATTCCAAATTTCCAATTGACATCATTTATCACAGCTTCCCAAACCACAACCAACAGCGTGGAACAATTTTTTCTCTTTATTCCTTGCTTAACTGCAACAATATGACGACATCGCTCTGTTATCTATCACGTCAAAATCATGAAAGGTCCTCTTTTAAGTGATGAGACGAAGATGAGCAAAAAGAGAAAAAAGCCAAAAGAAAAAACTTTTTTCATGAAAATGTCAAGTGGATAACAATTCAAGTTGAAATATTCAATGTTTTGGCATTCCTTTGGGGCAATGAGGAGCACGCTCTTCACACTTTTCGATATGCCCATCAGGCAATGTTTTTCAACAAATTATGAAATGAAGCTACAACATTTGAATTTCTTATTTTTTTTCGTCAGAGGCTTTTTAAGTGATTTTGTTCTGGAAAGTGAGGCTTGAAAGAGTTTTGGCTTGATTTGAGTTTACATGCAAATCTAAGAACCAAATCTCTCCAATTCTCAATTTCCAACAGACCAAAAGTTCAACGATAAGGAAAGGATATAAGAACTGTCTCGTCTCAACTGTCAATTTCTTTCGTATTTAATTTTTTTCTATATTCTGATATCATTGCCTTGTTGGTATGCATGCAATATTGTAGGAAAAAAGTGTGAATAGCTGTGGCATAATGAGGCTATTGACGTATGGAAACAATTTCGCATCTGCTTTAAGAAGAAGAATCTTCTGCCATTTATTTCTTATCTATTTTAGGGCGGTGTGGCAGGAGAAACAAGATTTTTTTTTGGGGAACTGCTATTTAGCAAGAAATCAGCATTAAATCATTTTCACGAGAAATAGATGTGGAAATGATTTATTGGGCTGGATCGATAAATCACGAACATTTTTATTTTTTTGGTATGCAGCAATTTTGTGGGAAAAACTTTAAAAAGGAACAGAAAAAAAATTCAAGCTCAATTTATTTTTTCCCATACACAATAGAGGACATAGCATTGGGGACTATCCATTGTAATCCTTATCCATTCCAAAATTTGCATTTTCACTAGAAATTTCTCCAATTTTCACATTCTCAACAATTTATGCCATTTCTCAATTTCCTGTTCCAGCTGAATTTCATTTCATAGAGTGTGAATTTTTCATTTGAATAATAAGCAAGCTTATAGAAGGCGTTGGATATGTAAATTCATTGAATTTCGCATTTCTCTCTCTTTTTTCGGTTATTTTCGATACAATTCTTTTGTGAAAGGAGAGAAAGAAGGAATAAAAATGCTCATTGCTATCTTTGGCACATTTATTTGCATAAAATAATGTGTTTGAATATTTTTTTCAAATTTGTTGGGGGTCTGGTGAGGTTTGGCGTTGTAACAATGGTGTGAAAAGGAGAACAACTTAAGCTGCGGTGTTAAACGAACTTAAATACGAATCACTTTAAGAAGTTATCGGAATTTTTTTTATATTTTTTGCTTTGATTCTCCTCCTTAACCTTTAAAATTTGCATATGAATTATGATATGAGCATCTTTGAGCCAACCTCAAGTCAGCAAGGTATAAATTGTCGATTTTATAACTTGAACAAGACAAGCTCAAGAATCAGTCAAAATTTAAAAGCTCGTGTAAATTAAGCTAGACCAAGCTTCAGCTTGACCTAGTCTCAAAACTGTATTCATTTAGAATCTTTATTAATTTCCCTCACTCTTCTCGCTCCACACATCATCACAATTTTGCCTTCGCTTGCAAAATCTTCCTGGCACATTTTTCTTCTTCTCCTAAAATTGCAAGCCGTGCTTCTTTTTTTCTATGATTTAAAATGTTTCTTTATCAAAACATGGCAAAAATACATAAATTTCATTGGAACTTGTTTACGTAGACGAGACAACATTAGATATCAATAAAAATTGAATTTATAGCTTGATGCAAATATGTGTGTACAAAATTATGTTCATTTGATGTCATTTTATGAGGGAATAAATGTTGTTGAATTCAAGGAAGCCTAAGGCTGTCCATATGGAGGCTGTCGACAACTGTCTATCGGTTTTTTGCTGATTTTCAGTCAAAAAGCGGGACATGTCCCGATTTTAGCTTTGAAAACGTTGGAAAGACCAAATTTTCATGTATTTACCAAGAAAAATAGGTTCAAAAAGCGGGAGATTAAGGATTTTAGGCAGGACTTTGTTTAAAAAAGTGGGACTGTTTTGTTATTATATTATTCTGTGCCCTCCACCTGTTCGATATTTCAGAGTCCTTTTAAAGTCATGCTACAATCTACATGTTAAGACTGAGCTGATTGTAAAGTACAAAATGAAATAAATTTGAGTGATTTTGATTGTTGCTTAAAATAACAAACATACGTTTCAGTAGCGACATCAATTATACTCTAGCTTAGCTTCTCTAATTTTTCATTTTTGCATACACAAATCGAAACTTTAGCATTTGACAGATTTACAACAAACAAAGCCAATTTTCATAAGCTCGATTTGCAAGCTAGGAAGGAAAGGATAGACACAAATAGGCACGTAGGAGATTTGGGGGACAAATCTTCTTTCGTCAACTGAAATTTCTTCATTTTGCTGGGATTTCTTTGAAGAAATTTAAAAAATTCTCGCTTTTTGTCCCCCCTTAATCAAATTCCTGGCTACACCCTTGAACAAAAGGCTCAATTTGGAAGTAATTAAATTTTGCTGCCTTTGCCATCGTTGAGTGTCTCAGATAAAAGTTAAATAATCATAACAATAATCAAGTGAAAGGGCTTAAGCCAAGGCGTGGAAACTCAGGATTAATACTGAAAATTCCCAAAAATTATGAAAAAAATCCCAGAGCCAATAAACATGGAAAGTAAAATCCCTGATGCATTTGATGAATAATTTAGAAATTTAAAAGGGATTTCACATTTTCATATTTATTGGCTCTGGGATTTTTTTTATGATTTCTGGGAATTTTCAGTATTAATCCTGAGTTTCCACGCCTTGGCTAAAGGCTAGCGATGTGCGCCTATATGTTGCGATGAGCTGGAAGCTCTGCAATTCTAATTGACTGAAAACTTGAGATTCGTTGGATTATTATTAATGATTGAAACTTTATTTAAGCAAGACATGCTTGTTGAAAGGAATCAATTTTCACATTATTATTCATCAATATCAACTTAAGCTTCTTAAAAAAAATCTTCGATAAGATCAACTTTATAAATTATTTATGTAAATCGATACCCCAAAAAAAGTTAATTTTCAAACCTAAAAGAGTATCAAAATTTTGTACAAAAAAAAAATCTTTTAAGGCAACTTAATAAATTTGTCAAGATATCGAAGAACTCCCATCAAAAAAATATAAAGTTTCAAGTTCATTTGAATTTTTATTAGTTCACTTTTCCTTCTTGTTATCTTATTTTTTTGTGTGGAATAAAATTTGTATGTCAAATTTGTTCTTTAAAAAAAGTGAACAAGCAGGATGAATAAGAGAGAAGAACATGAAAAGCTCATCAAAAGTTTCTCTTGCCAAAAAGTTTAAATTTAAATTCAAGATGAATTTTTGATTTAAAAATGAAGAAAAAATTTATTTTGAAGAGTTGGAAACATTTCAGTTCCAATCAAGCATTTTGCACAATTTGCATTTGATGCCACAATTTTCAGCTATTCCAACTAGAGGTCGTTCAATAATGACGTCCGTAATTAACGGTCATTTTTCAAAAAAAAAAATAGATTTCCAGGAATTCTATTGAAATTTTCTTGCTGACCCCCCCCCCCCCCCCCCCTTTGGACGTCATAAGTGAACGGCCCCTTACTTCTCTCAATTAAAAAAAAATTAACACTTACCTTAACTTTTTTATCAGAATGCCTATCAGCCACAGCAACACTATATTGGGGCGGTTGAGATGACGGAATGTCAATTTTTGTCTCCTTATTTCCACCTTCCTGATTCTCATCCGCCTCCTGCGTAGTATTTACACTATATCCTTGATTATCAAGACGTGGTCTGTTTGTTGCCATCGCTGCATTTGCTATCGAATATCGTCGACTATCAGGATAGTGACTCACGTAGGTGTTTTCATCGTTTATATCATTTGACTTTTCCATCGAGTCGTCTTGCTCCACATTTTCCTCTGCACTCTCTATTTTATTTATTTTTCGTTGTTTTAATTTTAATTAAGTCCATTTTTTCAGAATTGTAGCAATAATTGGTATATAGCACATTCATATAGGAATAATATTTACATATTTGGATTAAAGCATGTGCAAAATTATTAATTTTTTTGTTTTTTTGTTTTTTCAAAAAATTCGTGTTGAGATTTTAAAAAATTTCATTTTTTTGAGATAGAAAAAAAAAGTTTGGAAAAAAGAAGAAGAAAAAAATAAGAAAAAAATGCAATCAAATTGTGGATGAATTGAGATTGTTCAGCTATTATCACTACAACATCAAATTTCATTGTCAGATGAGGGAATTGACTATGTGCTCTGGATGTGATGATGACAAAACTTTAGTCTTTATTTTGCTGAAAGCTTATGAGTCATTAAAGACTTTTTAAAGTTTCATTAGCTTCTTCTTTGAGGATGAAGGAGAAAAGTTTCATGAATATTTTAATAGAATCAATTAGCTTGAAGATGGAAGAAAGTTTTTCAGTGGTATGAATTTAGTTCTAGTTTTGATAGCTTTATAGTGACTCTATAAAGTCGATTGTAACTGTTTAAGATTTTTGCTGACTTTATAAGGTCTACAGTGATTCTATAAATTCAATAGAGACTCTATAAGGTTGTTATGGACACTAAATGTAGTTTATAGAAACTCTTTAAGGTTTAAAGAGTCTCTATAAGGTCTAGTGAAACTATATGAGGCCTAAAGATGCTCTATGTTGAAATGATGAATATAAAGCAAAAGAAATTTAACGGACATTTCATTTTCAAAAAGAATGAAAGAGACAGAAAAGGGTGTGAAAGAGAAAGGATGAAAGGGGCAATTTTTGGCGGGAAAATCTCCCTATAAAAGGAGCGAATTATTGCAGGGAAATTCATTCTTGTTTTGGCAATCGAGCTGAAAACATCTAAAGGAAAGGGTTAAAGATATAAGGATAAAGGAAAAGGGAATGAAAAGGATAAAAGAACAAAAGATAAAGATATAAGGGTAAAGGAAAAGGGAGTAAAAAGGATTAAAGAATCAAAGGTGAATAAAGGACCTATTACCACGGAGATCACGACGGTAAAAGAAGTATCGGACGTAGAGTGGTAGCCATCTATAAAGGAGCGACCCCTAAAGGCTGTGAAGTTTCGTGGCAGGCGATCAAGACTGAGGTGGAAGAACGAGAGATTGTACTGCTGACGCATCTCGGAGATAGCGAGAACGTGCATAAGGCTGAGAGAGAAGCACACAGGAGTCTAACAGCATAAAGACGAATAAGGGCTTTCCACCCTTGTTCAAGATCTCAACATTTAAGGAGGAGCTGGCAGTGTGCTCAACTCCGAAGATTATGAAGGAAGATTCGTGGGAGGCGATCAGGAAAGGGATAAAGATAAAAGGAGAAAGGAATAAATACTAAAAAGGGCTTAAAGAGTACTTTTAAGTACTATAAAGATAATTAATAAGTAATAAAGGTAAACATAAGGAAAGTCACCACGGAGGAGGTTACAGAAGACCAGTGGGAGCCGTTTGAGGAGGAGCTAGCAGTGTGCTCAACCACAAAGGTTCTGAAGGAAGATTCGTGGGAGGCGATAAAAGCAGTGATAGGGGAACGCGAAGTGGCATTACTTGCACATCTTCGTAACAGTTCAAACGTGCAAAAGGTAGAGAGAGAGGTTTTCCGGAGACGAGCTGCAAGACGACTCAACCCGTATCATAAATCTCAACACTCTATATAGTCAATTGTGACTTTATAACATCGATAGAGCCTCTTTTAAGTCGATAGAGACTCTATAAGGTCAATAGAGACTCTATTAAGTCGATAGAGACTCTTTTAAGTCGATAGAGGCTCTATAAGGTCAAAAAAAACTCTATAAGGTCAAAAAAGACACCTTATGATCCAATTGACTCAAAAACTCTTCATCCTCATCAAATAAACTTAATTCTAGAGTCCAAAAATTTATTTTTAACTCTATCCCTTTCGACAGTCAATTCCCTCATTTAATGAATCAATAAAAATTGCGAATTAATTTTCATCTCGAAATATTATTTCCGTTCATTTATTCTATATATTTTATTACATTTCATTTGTTATTTGTTATGAAGCGAGACAAGTTGCAAGAAAAAAAAACAGGAGATGAATGCAAGGCCAGCTATAAACATTATTCTATTGGGGATAAAAGCTTTTGTGCTGAAAAATTTTTTTATCTTAGTTCGTGCCATAAAAATTTCTTTTGCTGTCTTTATCATCTACTTGCCATCTAGCCAAGAGGAATGCAATAAATTTTTAAGTTTTGTGGTCCTCATTTTTTTTGTGAGAATATTAAGAACAACCAGAAGGTATAAAAAATTGTGTCATTATCGTGATAAAAAAAAATTTGAGCATTGCAATGTGCAGAGATTCTTTTTTATTTTGTTGCTGTTGCATTAACAACGTGCAATGATGAAAATGTGAATTTTTATTCAGGAAGGAAATCGAAGAAAAATTGTTTATGAGTCATTCTGCAATGAGTAAGTGAAGAAAATGCATAGAAAAGCGATGCAAAGCACGATGGCAAGTAATTTGTTTTCTTTTTTTCATTACAGATGCTTATTTATGGCTTTTTGAAGGGGGTGAGCCAGGCGCGCAACCAGGGTGGGGAGATTTGGGGGAAAATTTCCCGAAGTTAACAGAAATTTCTTTATTTTGCTAGGAATTCTTATTTTAAAAAAATCTCCTTAAATTTTTAATATAAAATTTTTTTAACCCCCCCCCCCCCCCCTTCTTCAAATTTCTGGCTACGCCACTGAGGTGAGCTCAAGGATATTCACAAAAAAAATTTAAAAATATTTAAATCAGTCAAAACTTTAATTAAAAAATTCCTAAAAAGTAATTTTAAAAATTGTGCCTTATCCTTGACACTCCACCCCCTTGAGTTCCTTTCTCATCTCCAGATTTTATTTGTGTGTCAAGCACAAAATTTTTTAACAGCATGTTCACTATTCTACATAAATCTCGCTTGTGTATAAAAATAAAATATTTTATCATCTCATAATTTTCATTCATACAATAACAAAACGATGAGATTCCTGCATATCGATCAAATTCAAATTGCATATCAATTCTCACTTATTTATTTCATTCGAGAGTTTTATTGATGCATTTTAATCATTATAGAAAAATCTTATATTTTTGATGAGGAAAGGAAAAAAAGTAAATCATTGAATATTCTTTTTTGCAGATGTGAGATTTTTGTTGTGTTTTTGTTCACATTGTGCACAAGTTTGAGAATGCAATGACATGGAAATTTTTAATGAGGTCAAGTTTAGTTGACTTGAAATGGGATGTGATTGTGAAGATGTGACACTGAAAACATGGTTGGCTATTTCTGGAATTGATATAGAAGCTATGATTAAATGGATCATACCCAATGGCATTGCTAGTAATAATGTGTGAAGGGCCAAGCCTTTCAGCTGCAGGCACTGCGATTCATTAAAAATGCTAGTAAGTTCTAGAGTTTTTTCTCTTAAAAACCACGAAATGTTGATCTTTACGTACTTAAGGTATGTTGAATATTGTAAACCAAAACTGTAAGTATTAGGTCAATAACGAGTATAAACATGTTAATGCACGATTGTCAGTTTAATAGCTTACACCGAATACTTAGTAATAAAAAGATGATCAATTTATGTTTAATAGCTTGACAGAAGTCATAAAATAATTCATATGATTTATGATAGTCAAATAGTTGATGAAACTGTATGTAACATTCATGTAATTTTTAATATAAATAGAGCAGACAAATTTGAAATAAAGCTAGTTATAATTCAGACTCCAAACATTGAGTGAAGTATTCTTCTGTTTCAGTAGTATTTAGCTGTGTAGTCTATACTGCAAAAGAAGATTTATTTCGTCGGAAAAGAGCATATAACTCGGATAAAGGAAACTGATTGAGAATCACCATGAAAGAACAACAGGTTATGGGCCCAGAACGAAGCAGCTCTGTTTCAACATCTGAGAAATCAATTTTTCATATCGAAAAATTGAATAATACCAACTATTTATCATGGAGGTTCAAGATGATGATGCTTCTTCAAAAGGAAGATTGTTATGACTCAATCGAGTTGAGAAATGATGCAGATTTGGCAGATGATGTCTTAAAGAAAGATAAGAAGGCACTTCAATGGATTGCTTTGTCCGTTGAAAATAATCAACTGATCCATGTCAAGAAAGCCACTGGTGGAAGAGATGCTTGGAAAAAATTGCAAGAATATCACCAACGCTCAAGCTTATCCAATCAAATTAGAATTAAGAAAAGATTGCATAAGTATGAGCTAAAAAAGGGAGAACCTATACGAGATCATCTTGACAAAATATTTCAAGATCTTGATGAATTATCTGAAATGGATGCTGCTTTAGATGATAAATCAGCTATTCACATCATATTGTCTAGCCTCAATGAAGACTATGATGCGTTGATAACTGCTTTAGAAGCATGGGAAGAGAGCAAGCTAACTTTGCAAACAATTAAGATGAAGCTGATTGAAGAATATGATAGAAAATCATCAGCTAATACAAAAAGAGATGCCCAATACTGGTCAGCTAAACGCGCTGAAGATCCTGAATGCTATTTTTGCAAAGAAAAGGGTCATATTAGACCACAATGTAAAAAATTCATTGAATGGAAAAATAAAAATGGATTGGCTAAGTTAGTCAAGTCCAATCAATGGTACAAAGTTGTTTCTGATAATCTTCAGGATTGGTGCGTCGATTCCGGAGCTACAAAACATATATGTAGTCAAAGAGATATGTTTTCAGATTTCAATAAATTAAATGGAAGTGTAAAAATAGCAAATGGAAAAAGCGTAAAAGTTAAAGGTGAAGGAAAGGTTACACTAAAACTCAAAGTATTTGATGGAAGGAAAAATCAAATAATAGATGTAACACTAAACGAAGTTTTGTACATACCTGAGATGGATGGAAATTTAGTGTCAGTTAGAAAACTGACAGATAAAGGATTT